TCGTGGAGGAGGCTGTTTTCAGTGTCTCCACAGCACAGGAATCCAACGAGGTGGAAAAGTCCGAGAGTTTCCACACGAGGAGGGGCAGCATGCCAAACCCAGGGTTCTCTGAGGGGGAGAGACCCACCCTGTGGCAGGAAGGCACCCAGAGCTTCAGCTGGGACTTGGAGCTGGGAGTCCTTGAGGAGCTTCACGGCAGGGAGAAGCTCTACAAGTGCTTGAATTGTGGGAAGAGCTTCAGCCGGCGCTCCACCCTGATCCATCACCAGCAGACCCACACTGGGGAACGGCCCTACGAGTGTGGGGAATGTGGGAAGGGCTTCAGCACAAACACCCACCTGATCGGCCACCTGCTGATCCACACTGGGGAGAGACCCTATGAGTGTGGGGAATGTGGGAAGAAGTTTTAACAGAGCTCCCAACTCCTCAGCCATCAGCGAATTCACCGAGAGGAGAGGCCCTTCCTCTGCCCTGACTGTGGGAAGGTCTTCAAGCACAACTTCACCCTCGTCAGGCACCAGCGCATCCACACTGGAGAAAGGCCCTACAAGTGTGGGGAATGTGATAAGAGCTTCAGCTCGAGCTCCCACCTGATCTCCCACCAGCGCATCCACCCAGGAGAGAGGCCCTATGAGTGTTCTGAGTGTGGGAAGAGGTTTCAGACCAGCTCCAATCTCCTCCTGCACCACCCGATTCACATGGATGAGAGGCCCTTCCGCTGCCCTGACTGTGGGAAGGGCTTCAAGCAAAACTCCCACCTCATCAGGCACCACCGCATCCACACTGGGGAGAGGCCCTACGAGTGTTCCCAGTGTGGGAAGAGCTTTTCAGGAGTTCTCACTTGACCCGACACCAACAGAGGCACCAGTAAGGGAAGCCCTGTGAGTGCCCTGACTTCAGGAAATGCTTCTCATCCACTGCTCCAACTTCATCCTCCATCGCAGTACCCAGTTTGGGAAGAGCCCTGGTGACCCACATTCCCAGTGATCCAACGTTAGGAAGACACCTGTCCCTTTCTCTGCCCCTGGGACTGATGTGGGGTGGGATGGAAGAACATGAGGGTTTGGGCATGCCCCTGGTGTTACATCTGATCCCA